GAAACCGTGCATCAATAATTTATTTTGTAGAATGGCATATTAATGGGGACACCTGAAATATAGTTACATTCTTCGAAGTTTATTTTTCACTCGAATGGACGTCATTATATATGAAAAAGATTCGATGGCACACTCAGAATTTTGCAAGGAACTGAAAAGATATTGAATGCAAATTTAAAAAAACTTATCAAATTACATAAATAGTATTCTGGTAATCAATAATAAAAATTAGTATTTGTCAAATCGAGTTTTCAATATTAAAAGTAAAAATTTGTACAAAGTTGCAAACATCAGAATTTAAACTTCCAAGAAGATAAACGCATAACGCTTAAAATGGAGAGACATAAATAATTATGAAATATATACATGAAACTTAAGTAAAATTTACACATATAATCTAGACCTCTTTATCCGCGGGCGATGTACCATCCTAGAAACTATTATAACAACACTATAAATGTGGAATTTATTTTCTTTAGTTAATCTTCGTATGTCGTTTAATCCACATAATTTTATGTAATAATAACGAAAGACTTTTTCTTGGTTAACGTGCTCAGCAAAAGTTAGTAAATGTGAGTTTAATTGTTGTTTACTCTGCACGATGTAAAATATGTTAGCGAAATTAAAACGTATGTATGCGTAACAACTTTAATACCGCTAATTGAAACGAAGTGCTTTTTTAATATATCTTGCATTAAGAAAACAGATCTGACTCACAAGATGGCGCTGAATTTATTCTATACTGCTTTCATATCCCAGAAGAATTTGTTCATCACGGAATGTCATGAAATATAGACGCAACATTTCCAAAATGTATTGTATATTTTTGAAATATTTCGTTGATGAGATACGGAAAAATGGTGGTCACTCCCATGGGAGTTGGAGCCAGGCTAAGCACAGTCATAAGGTTTCTCGACACTGTCTGACCCGCGGATTATCGACTTAGACTGTTACCTTACTTGGCTGAATTGTTTCTACGTGTCGAAAACGGTTGACCACAGAAACTACCAAGTATACTGTGATTTAGGATCTTATTGTTTTAACGCTGAACCTAAAGTGGCCAAAATCACCGCTTAACCTGATCTTTACGTTAAATTAAGTTAGGTTAGGTTGCAAAGTTTAAGGTGATTTTCTTGAAATCATTGTTGAATTTTATCGCAATTAAGAATTTACCCTTTGCAGTCGAAAGTATTTTTGCTGTTGGCAGATGGCAACTCTTTTTGTTGGCAACGAATTTTTTTGTTACTTAACGAATTCTTTTGGAGTTATTATTTCCCTGCTATTAGTTTTCACTAGTTTTTTCTGTGTTTATACATCACCTATAGGACTCTAGATTTCTTTAAAAAGTACCTATTTCATATTATTCAGTTAAACCAAATAGCGAGTGCCATTCAGTTTATTGTTTAAGGTATAAAAATTCTTCAGATCTTTTTTTAATTCATTTTCCTTTATCTGAAAATAAAGATCATTATTGACAAAATTATAATAAAGTTTCTATCAATATTATTTGTTTCATTTTATCTAACAATATACTCAAGCCTTAATGCTACTAATTTTAATATTAATTATGATTTTTGGAAAATCGTGAATGTACAGTTAAGAAACACATTATAACATATTTTAAATATTTCTTATTAAAACAAATCATGCGAGTGTGAAAAATACTTTAATCATTCTTTTTTAATTTTTTTTAAGTATGTTCAGTTCAAGTCTCCTTAGAAAGAAATTATTTATTAATAATATCAGTTAGAACTTAATAATTTCTTGTGCGAGAAAATTTTATTACATTAAGTAAGAGATATGATACTATAGACTAACTTTAACCCCGAATTTGGTTATCGCAATCCCTTCCTTTATTGCGGTTTTGAAAGTTGATACCGTGAAGCCTTGTTTGCGTTAGTTGAGCTATGAGGTTGCTCCGGAAGGCAAATTACTGGAAAATTTAGTGTGCTTCGAAAATGAATTATCCGTTAAATATGGATGAGAACTGGAATATTATATTTTTGTTTAAAATCGGAGGAAATCAACTTGATATTAGTTAATGTTAATAATTTCAATAATGAGAACATTTAATTTAATCGAAGATTACTTAATCAATTAGTTAAAAATTAGCAACAGTGTTTTAATTAATAAATAAATCGAAGACAAATGTATTTATACGCTATATAAAGTATAAATAACTTTTACTAAATATAATTCAAGTTAAATACAACTTTATTCATCCTGTGTTGTCTAATAAATTCTGCCTGAAGTGAAAACAAAATTATTAAGAAAAGATTATTTTTGCAAAATACATACCAAGGAATGAGAAATATTTTATGTAAAAATAAATTTATTTTAGTTTTAATAAATGTAGTTTTTAGTTTATGTAACGTTACAAAAATGATTTATCAAATTTTTATTTAGTACGACACCGCAGTTTGCAATAAATCTCGCAATATTTGTTCTTAAAAAATTTACAAAAAATTACATTGATTATAGCAATAACAAACAAAGAAAAGGTATTATCAAAGAATTTATTCGCTCAGAAGTGCAACATAAAATTCTACCTCAGAATTGGCAAACTTCACAAAATCTAATGGAGTGAAAACAAAAGGAAATCAATTTTAACGTGGTCTTACAGCTGGTACAGTTATATAAAAGGTATCCGGTTCCTGCAAGCCCGTCTCTCTCGCTTCTGTTCTTTCCATATTTCTTTGTTTCCTCCACAAATATTCCCTCTGATTCTCCTACATTTGACTCGGAGGTAGAGAGAGATGCAGTTCACTGGAAATAGTGGTTTCTAGAGTGTGAAATTGCAACGAACTCATGTATTAATACAGACGCCAATATCGTGGTCGAGCTTTTATCTCGACATTCATTACAGCGATAATCATACGCGTAATTCTCTGTTTCTCATACTTTTGAACCGATAACGGTACACAATTCATTTGCTTGCGATATTGTTTCGATTTGAATTTCAAAAAACACAAATTATTTACCTGTGATAACAGAATAAACACACGACTTAGTTACAAATGTTGTGCATACAAAATTATTCAAACATCTGCGAGATCTGCAAAACGTTAAATCTGTACACAAGAAGTGTGGAGATATTATGAAATAAATTGATATTATGTTACTGATATTATAATTAATAATTATAATTGCTAATATTATATAAAAATGTTATAAAATTATTAATATCATGTAAATTGACGGTATGACGTTATTAATAATAAAGGAACCGTATTTAACCCCTTAACCTACAACTTTTTAAGCAGTAGAGTCATTCACAGTTAGCTAATTGTTGCTACGGTATTAAGACAATTATAGAAAATTTTTAGGCACATCTTGCATTTACCGATTCTTGATTATGCAGGTTATAATTAGAATTGAGTGCAGTATTCAATTGCAGTGAAAATACGAGTCTATTTAGCACATTCGAAGTGTAGCGTACGTCACAAGTGCAACACGATATTGTAGTAATATTAACTCATATGTTACATAATGAACCACGCAAAAACAACAAAAGTCTCTAGATAGTAATCGAATCTTTTAATGACGTTACTTATATTCACAAAGAATTACATTTTCACCCTCAAAATGCTTGTGAATTTTAAAGGTCACTTTAGTATTCTTATTGCCGCCATTGCAGCACCGTGTATCTCCATTATCATTAAATATTCACGAAAATTCGTAGCAAAATATGTGAAAATTGTAAATAATAACTGCGCCAACAGTTAATTTATAGGATTTAGTTACACAAGATGCGGTAGCCACTCACTGTGACAGCAAACGAAACATTTTCAATTATTAATGTTAAATATAAAGATGTAAAATGGACATCGTTGCACCGTTCTCGAATTCTCTCTGGAAATTTAGTGGTACATGAATATACCGTCGCCAGATGCGACGCTGATACTAAGCTAACCATCTATGGTAATGCATAATTCACTTCCACACACCCTTTACGTACCCCTATTCGGGTAATACAATTGTCCAATGTTCATCAACATAGGGATTTGCTTAACTTGGTTACAGCAATAAACGTCGACGTGATCTTATGAATTTCTGATTTTTAGTTTAGGTTTCATTTTCTCTAACGAAGATTTTTTTGCGGTTTACGATAGTAATTTACCAGGAGTGTCAATTTTACAAACTTCGTTTTTCGACCGCTGTCGGCGTTTAATTATACATTTTCGGATGATTTTTAAATCAAATTGTAACTTCAGCTTAAAATTTATTTTTTATTTTAAAGGCAAGTTTATATAACTGTTCGTTTATCTTAAGGGTTTAACAATAATTCTAATGTAAATGTAAAGGGTGGTAATTTTAAAATAGTAAAATTTGAAGGTTTAGAAAGGGAACTGGACAATTAGAAAACTTGAACGTTTAGGAATTTTTGAAATTAGAGGTTTAAGAATTTGTATAAAAATGTCATATATTCAACTATGAAATTTTACAATAGAATTTGAGGATTTGAGAATTTAGCATTGAAAAAACTTATAAATTCAGGAATTTTGTAAAATTTAATCATTTAGAAGTTTAAAAATTTAGAACCTTACAAATTCTTAAATTTAAAAATTTGAAAAATTCAAAGTTTGAAAATTTGAAAATTTAGGGTTGGAAATCTCGTGAATTTAAAAAATTTGAAAAATTTGAAACTTTGGAAAATTCAAATATTTGGTGTTTGAAAATTATATAAATGTATTACTATTTCCAAATTTCCATTTTTTTTATTCCGTATATTTAAAATATCTGAGATTTTCAACAGCATACAGCATTCCTTAAAGAAGAATGAAAAAAAAACATTTCCTAAAAGTTTATATTAACATTTGAGTATAAACTTAATTAATATTCATTTGTATTATTACACTTTTATCGTCACACTTTATTATGTCTCATGTAACACTTAAAAAATCTTTGCTAACAACGATTTAATAATAATAAAATTCTTTTAATCCTTCTCTCACGGGACACACAGGTGACAACTATTTTATTAGTGTTTTATGTTGTAGGACCAACTCTGGCAGCGAGAGCAGTTCTTCAGGGTACAGCAGAATTACCGTGTGACATTCGACCTCCACGACAAAATGACTCTGCAATTTTGGTTGTTTGGTACAAAAGCGATATTACACCTATTTACAGGTGAGCAACTATTTGCTTTTAATAATAATATTATTTGTCATCGCTGATAACTGTATTCATATATGAAAATAATTGAAATATTAGTATTTTAAGTTGATTATCTAAATTATTTTCGCTGCTTGTACAAATGAAAACAAATAACTGAAGAAAGACTGTAGGGTTTTAAAATTCTTTTACCGTTAAACAAAATCTTTTATACAAATATAATTATAGAAACCGTATATAATTATCTATCTTTTACCTATAATTAATATAAATTTATAAAAGGTGCAATAATGAAACGTTGTAATAATTAACAATTTCGACGCGAAAGCAGGAAATACAATATGAAGTTCGCCGAGATCAATACACGGGAGATTTGAAAAGAGTTATGACACAGTTATTACAAAAACAATTATTTATTATAATTTACACACTTCCAATTATGATACATTTTATTATTAAATCCTTACTTAATTTATATTAAATTAATATTACATAAGTAGTGTATTTGAATGTCTTATATTTTTCCTAAATTATACAAGGTGATTCGAGGATACCATGAAACCTGAAAACCCCAGATTTTTCCTGAGAAAAAAGTCAAATTTTTGTTCATTTTACAATCTACAGTTTCCATGATATGAGCAATTGAAAGTTGGAATATTAACTTCCGGCAGGCGCGTTTCCAACAACGGACAGCTTAACAGATAGTTCACGTCGCATTGTCCTAGATCAGTGTCCAGACAGAAGGTCGTATGAAAGAGTAAAAATGTACGCATACTTGGTCCTTTAAAAGCATAAAGCGGTTGTTGACCTCGGTCATTTTTCAAACTATGGAAAAATGCTTCTTTGTTTAAGTGCTGACATAGGACAATCTGCATGGGCGATCGTGTATTTACACAGTTCTGGAAAGGACTAAGATCAATAACTGCTTTCTGTCTTTAAAAGACGTTGTATGTATGCATCCTTATATTCTCTTGTATTTTCTTCTGTGAACATTATTAAATATAATAACTTATATGAGTCGTTGATTTTGGCCTAAGCCCATTCTTGGTAATAAGACAAATATTATTTACTTAATAATGACTATTATTTTAATAGGACTGTAAATTTAACTCTTTTAGACACACTTCAGGGATATGATATAATACATTAATATCCTGTACTTTTAAATAAACTTTTGAATATTTCAGTTTATACATGAATGAATTTAGGCCACTGTGGCAGTTTCACTCCTACGCTCATCGCCACTAGACGGCGCATAAGATCGAGACTTTCTCGCAAGTACTTAACGAGCCCCGCATCCAAAGCACGTGATAGCTAGAATGCTGTACTAACGAGTCCTCCACTGGCAGATCCTGAACAAAACTTCATATATAGATTAAGAGACTAAATAGTTAAAATTGATTCCTTTTTCTTGCAAATTGCATCTATTTTTTTTTCTTTTTGTTACTTATTGGAGGACGTCAACGTATAACACACGTACCGGTGAATAACATACTAATAGTTAAGGTAGTACATTTATCAATAACTGTTGTAACGGACTATTAGACGGCTAATTTAAACACTAAGAAAATAATAAACGGAACCTTACTCGGGAACGGTCGAACGACAAATACAAGACGAAAAACAGCTTAACGTTTGAAGAGCGTGAATACACTACATGTGCTCTGTTTTACACACACACACAGACCATAATGTTTATGTACATACAGAGCTCGGTAACTTTGCTATACTCAACAATAACCATAACAGTATTTGGTGGTAGTTGTGGACTTATATGTTTATTTTTATATAAAATCTGTTTTATGAAAGATGTAGTGTACATTAGTGCTCGAGTATCACCATGAAATCAGATTTCATTTTGTCAAAATTAAATTTATAATCTCTTTTCTCGAAATTGTATCAGCTATATACATATAATACAACTGAAACTGTATAACGTACTTTCAAACTATATAACTATATAACGAAGTATGTTGTACAGAAAACTATTTATAATTTTATAAGATAAAGACAACCTTAACAAATATATGTAAATATGAATGATAAAATGATACTGCTTATACATTAAATACCAATATAAAGTACATCATGTATATTAAATCTCTGAAGCATCACAGTTAAGCGTTAAATGATATGCTGCTATATCAGCAGCATGCAATCTGGTTTTAGCAAAGTTATAACAAATTACGTTGCAAGTAAATTGGAAAACGAATTAACCGGCGGCGTCATGTGTCGTATATAATTAAAGTAAAATATTATTAAAATATTAATAATAATAAATATTATTATTGTAATATTATAATTAATTCTCTTATATTATGTTAAATAAAATGATTCTTATAATTGTATTATTATTTTTGAATTCATTATCAAAATTTAGAAGTGGGACATTTTTGTTATATTTCAATTGTTAATTAATAAAATAATAATTTGAATTGATACGATATCATACAATTAATTATACTATTATAATTATAATTATTCTATTATTTTGATTGCTTAACACTGGTTATCGCTGCTGAATTTATTTCCAGATCGACTATTTTTATTAGAATTATTGTCATTATAATTTTATAATATACATTATGCTTGTCAATGTTTATGTAACTTCTTATTCTAATGCAAATATTAACTTTACTAAATGTAACAGTACAACTGATTGATACATGTACATTTTTACTTTTAAACTTCCAAAATAAGTATAATATTTATGTTAAGAACAACAAATTGCTTGTATTTCAATTATTTAAGAACACTTTACAAAAACTTTTTTTCTCGAAAAATCAGCAATATCAGGTGCTATTATTATTGCACACTACCCATATTTAAAAAATAAACCCTTAGTTCGCAAAATAATAGAAAAGAATGCAAAGAAGGATCTGTCTTTTAAATTTTGCACTATTTCTGTCATGCCAATATCATGAACTATTTTAGGAAAAATATATATAAAATTAATTATTTCATTTCTATTACTTATTTTTTCTTGTGTAGTACAGAATGGTAGCTGAGTCGAAATACAAATAAATAAATAATAAAGCTAATAGACACGATGGAACACGCTTATTATTTTCTTTCCTGTGTTAATCGATACTGACCTACTATGGTTATTAATTGTACGCGTAAACGCGAACAGTTTCCCGTTGAGCTTTTAATTATCGCCATCAACAGCACTTAAAATTCTCGGATAATAATACAATTAAACGCTAACCACATTAAATGCAACTTAAATTGAAAATTATGATGAAAAGTCCTTCACAAAAACTTCTCGTGTATAAAAATACATTAATACCCGTAAAACGAATAAAAAACAATTTGACGAAATTTATTTTATTTAAATTACTTTACAACTTTCATTTCCGTCTCTCGAATAACATGTTACAGAAATTCGTAAAAAATAAAAACTGTCGTTAACACCTGTAATGTAAGCCCAGTTTTTCACGTTGTTGCTCGTTCTGCAGACAGTGTTTCAAAAAAATTTACTTTGCTTGAAAAGTGACTTCTAGATATTGGACTTCGAAAATTCAGTGATTTTCATTTCCTTTTTTTTTAAATAACGCATATGGTTTTTGTAATTAGGACGATTCTTTCTAAAAAAGAAATATTTTTGTATAGTAATATAAGTTCAACAATTTTTAAAACAGCTTAAATTCAAAAGTAATGTGAACAAATTTATTATATAAAAGGAAGCAAACTACTTGTAATAAAAATTGAAACTTTCTTGTAAACAATTAATTTATTATTATTTCTGAATCTAAGTAAGAACGTTCCATGAATGAAGCAAGTATTATAACATTTCTGTTGTTTTTGAGTTCTATAAAAATATTCACGCGTGTAAAATTCCTTTCTCCGCACAAAATTTTAAGTGAAGCATCGATATACTTAAAATTTATAAATTAAAAATTAAAGTCATATTTTAATAAAATTTCTGTCATTTTGATTTTATCAAGGTTACACATATTATCCTATGTGCCATATGTTGTTTAAATTCTTTGTATAAAAATGTCATATGAAAACTGCAATTAAAATATTAAAATTGTAAGGTAATGCTACATCAATATATTTAACAACTCTAATGAATTATTGTACTTAGCTTAAATATTTGTAGAAAAATTAATAATTAATTAAATATATTACTTTTAATTGTAATTAATTTAAAACATTATTAATAGTAATTAATTTAAGACATTATTAATATTAATTAATTTCTGATATTATCGTAATTGTAATTAATTTAAAATGTTACATTCTGAAGAATTAAATCAATAATACCATGTTTCAGTTATGACATGAGAGGAAAACATTCTGAAAAGGCTTCTCACTGGAACGATAAAGATCATTTGAACGATCGAGCATTCTTCCGGACAGTTACTGAACCAGCAACATTAAATATCAATCATATCGAAGAAAAGGACGAGGGTGAATACAGATGTCGTGTAGATTTTGCTAAGAGCCCCACCAGGAACTCAAGAATTCACCTAACAGTAATAGGTTTGTATCACGCCTATTTTATATTTTATCAATGTGTGTAGAATAGTTTGCTATATTAATTAACATATATTATTTTAATCGCAATACTGACGATTAAATTATTGATTGTTTATTATTGTTAAATTATTGATTAAGTTTGATTAAGTTTGAGAAATAATTTACAATATTGGTTAGCATATATTATTTTAAAACTTTTATTTTTAAATTTTCACAAATAGCTCCAGAAAAAGGTATTAATGAACTATTCGTTATTAAAAAAGTATATTTATAGAAAAATGAAAATATTTTCCAAATATAAGAAAATTTATATAAATTTACAATGTTTGAAGAAACACGGACAAAAATTCGAATTACAAGTAAAAAAATGTTTTGAATAATTTCGTTAATTATGAATTTTTTAAGGTCTTAATATATTATTTTATGTAGCATATCTGCTACAGAATACAATAGAAGCTTAATTTTACAATTTCGTCAATTAGTTATTTATTTTACACATCGGCTTCATTTAACCTTGTATAATGGAGGATACCAAAAATTGTAATTATATTATTAGCAAGATTATAGCGATCACCTTCTTAAAATAAAGAAAAACTTTTTACAATATGTATACTTAACTGTTTTTGTACAACTTCTGACTAAAACCTTGAATATCTTATTACAAAAAAAACACATATTTTGCAACATACAAAAATTGAAATAAAAATGCAATAAGCACGATAAACAGATCATTGTGCATTACAAAATTAATTTTGGAAGATTAAAATAAAATTGAAATAAAAATGCAATTAGCAAGATAAACAGATAATTGTACAATAAAAAATTAATTTTCGAAAATTAATTTTACATTAATATTTATTATCCTCTATAATTGTGCGAAGTGTAGAAGATGCATATCACTTTTCGATACGAAACAAGAGAAGCACAATCACACTGCGAAGTACTGTGTTAATGACATTAACTGATTACCAGCAAACAGTTTCAATATTAAATTACAGTGGATATTAATTACTTGACAACTAATATATACAAATGTTTGCGATATCATGGTTCACTGAATATTTCAGGCTCCGAAATTATTCGCTTATAAAACACAACTTGCGTTTCATATATCATGGTCTGCTAACTATAAATGTACAATAAAGTGAACGACATGTAATAATAACAACACGTAACATAATGTATGTTACAAATAGAACTAACAGTCAACAGAGGAATAATTGTATAGAAAACATAGTACAGATTTAGCAGAACTTCGACAACTTTTATAGCTAGCCATTCACATCTTTAATATTATACTTTTAACACCATGTCAGCCATATTTGTTTGACGTATGAACTTATATTTTTACCAGTCACCCATTTATACGAGGAACTTTAATCAATTATAACAAGTTTTATTAAATAATTTACAGAATATACAACAGAGCTAAATATGGTTAAAATTAGATTAGTTGGAAATAAAGTTAACCTGCGATTTTCTGACGAATTCAACATAGCGGACAAAATGTTAAATTATTCGATCACCTTTCGTTCAAAAATGATACTGTGTAAATACCATGAAAATAGAAGTTTCATAATTTAATAAATGATGAGCGAAAATTATAAGCAGATAATTGATAAAAAAGTTATAAGAAGCAATTTGCTTATAACAGAAAAATTGATTGTAATATTACTTTAAAAGTAAACACAATTATACGACGATAAGGAAACAAATTTTGTCTCGAATTCATTAGCATATATGTATAATACATTTGGTTCCTACAATTCGGTATGTTGTATCATGTTACCGGTAAAATGTAAAATACTGCAACATACATTGCTTAAAATAATCTGACAAAATATAGAAAGCGATACAGTTATATCACATAATTATACGTATCTATGTTATATTCAGTTTTCTACCAAAATTTCAATGATACAACCTGAAAACGTATGTTCATATTGGATACACAATCCACCATTTTGATAATGATAAGTAGAGATGAAATAATAAACGATATTTGAATCTATGGACATCATTTGATATTCATCGGTGAAATTTATAATGAAGCCATTCTCAAATATGCTTGAAATTATTTTACGGGTTTCTCGCTTTGGCACAAGCTGGCGGCTATAAAAATTAAAAATTCAGCGTCCAATATTGAACCGCGATCTATTGACTGAAGAACTCTCGTAGTATAGCACACAGTATAGTATGTGTACAGTCGAGGCACGTGAAATAAATGTAAGAAGTGAGATTAAAATGTCTATTGTCGTTCATTTTAACTATCAGCAAGACTATTTAAAACTTAGAATGTAAATTACTTAAATAGTAATTAGTTTATTTATATGTATATTAAATGTATTATACAGGGTGTTACCTGTAACGCTACTCACGATTTTTCTCCCACTTGCAGCCACCTTACGAAAAAATGTTTAGAATAAAATTTGCAGGGTATGAAGTACACAATAGATATTAGTAAAGCAAATTTTGAAAACAGTTTGTTCTCTTGGCAAAGTCAAGGTCACCTTGGGTTTCTTAAATAGGAACATACATTTTTTTTTATTCATAGCTTTATTCATAGCTTCTGTAAATCGAGTAATATGTTCATAAAAATATAATGTAATATATGTTTTGAATTCGTCTCGATGTCCTCTAAAGCTATGAATAAAAAAAAATGTATGTTCCTATTTAAGAAACCCAAGGTGACCTTGACTTTGCCAAGAGAACAAACTGTTTTCAAAATTTGCTTTACTAATATCTATTGTGTACTTCATACCCTGCAAATTTTATTCTAAACATTTTTTCGTAAGGTGGCTGCAAGTGGGAGAAAAATCGTGAGTAGCGTTACAGGTAACACCCTGTATATACTAATTATTATATCTATTGCAAGATATTTGATCTTGTAATAAACAAACTTACCGTATTATATTAAGATCGTGCAATGGACTTCAGAAAATAGTTACAATTTTATTTTATTTTTATTTTATTTCGTCGAATTTTCTAATATCTGAATTTTTGTTAAGTCGAGGTACTTTAACACTAAAATTACCAAACCGGTCAAATGACCGTTCCGCAAGTTTCTTTTTGTAAGGAAGACATTTTGTTAAAATACATTTCTTGAAATCAGAATTGATTTTCATGGCCATAAAAAATAAATGTGTGTACTAATTTATCTTTCGTCGTTTGTTTATCTATTTTTTAACTACTAATTATTATATCTATTGCAAGATATTTGATCTTGTAATAAACAAACTTACCGTATTATATTAAGATCGTGCAATGGACTTCAGAAAATAGTTACAATTTTATTTTATTTTTATTTTATTTCGTCGAATTTTCTAATATCTGAATTTTTGTTAAGTCGAGGTACTTTAACACTAAAATTACCAAACCGGTCAAATGACCGTTCCGCAAGTTTCTTTTTGTAAGGAAGACATTTTGTTAAAATACATTTCTTGAAATCAGAATTGATTTTCATGGCCATAAAAAATAAATGTGTGTACTAATTTATCTTTCGTCGTTTGTTTATCTATTTTTTAACTTCATTTTTAATTTTAAGTTCAGTACACATTATGTGCCGGTAGGTTTAGTGTTAACAATGAAAACGTAATTTTGATGAGACATTAATATTTTTTCTGTCTACATATTGCAGTTCCGCCGCATAAACCAAACATCATCGATGCGTATGGTAAAACAGTATCGACCATAGCGGGTCCATACGAAGAAGGTGGTGACATGAAGCTGCAGTGCCTAGTTACGGGAGGTGAGTTTTATAGTTGTTTTACACTTTGGAAATATTTTTAAGAGTACTTCCCAAGAAGTTAAAGACACTTTATCCGGTACATTTTTTTATATGAAACGTTGAAACACACTTAGGCAATTTAAGGTACAAATCGTAAGATGGCATAAATTCAACTTCGTTTTGTCAAGAGGTGAAAAAAATGGTGGTTAACATTCAATTACCTTTGTTAAATGATATAACAAATATAATAAGACCTCGATTTGAACTAATTCTACGAACAAACGTTAAATTTCGTTTCTTCGTATGTGCAGGGTGTTCATGAAATTACAATCTAGCGTTTTTTTTTTAGCGTTTGAATTCCTATGCAAGCTAATTGCAAGACTTCTATTAAAGTGGACGAAACAGACTTAACTCCAAAAAGCAATGCAGCTTTTGCTGCTTAAAGCTTTGCAAGAGTAAAAAGAAACGAATAGGTAAAGATTATTTTCCTATAGTTTAATGAAAAAGTCGGAATCATAACACAATGTTTTCTAACCACCATTTTCCCACGCTTAACGTACGTGATTTCGTTTGTGAATTTTTCGACGCAATAAGCTCTGGGAAATGAGTGTCAACATTTGCGAAGATTTAATCACTGTCACGTTATTACACAGCCTGCTTTCGATTTTCGATAATTGCAGCTGTGCTTTAAAATCGCCTAACGAATTACCGTCTAAAGTGCTGCGTTTGAAGATCGGAAAGGAGAGCAACGCAAGAATGCTGTGCAGATAGCATTTTGTTGTCGATCAAAAGGATTTCGAAAAAAGAAAGGTTTAAGAAGAATAAAAGGAGTTCAAAGACAGTTAACAATGGAAGAATAGAACACGAAACTATTGAAGTAAAAGCTTGAAGTTGAAACAAAAATGACTCATCTGGTGGCAAAATTGAGAACTATGAGTTATGTCCAACATGTGAACTTATAAATTGTTAAATCTATGACAAGCTAAGCTTCAGTTACTTTACTTTTTTCTTTTTCTGTTTTGTTGATATAAATTAATGCAACTTAAGTGATCAATAAAATCCTTGATTTGTGTAACCATGTATAAATAATTATTAATTTTAAATATTATTTAGCTATTTAAGAATAATATACGTAATATATATTTGTATCAGTTATAATTGCCAGTTTGACAACAGCGATTAATTTTTTGTATACTCTTAAAACAAATTGTTATATTAATTTCACGTGAATAACTAATTAATGAAGACTCGAACAAAAAGCATACTTGTTTCCGATTCAAACGAGCTACAAGTGTCACAAGATTTCACAAGTTTCTTCTATAGTTTTCATTTTAATTAAAAGCAAATGTTGCACCATGTTAAAAAATAATCATTCACATTTGTATTTACCTACTTCCAACTTAAATTTATAATTATTACAATTTTATTTACATTTACAATTAGAACAACAATGTCTTGCAAAACTTTAACAAAATGATTGTAAGCAAGACAAAACCGAAAGATTATCGAGAAAAAATGTTCAAGGAAAATACCTCGAAGGTTTCATCAGTAAACGAACATTCTGCCGAGCTATACCAATGATATGCACACTTTCTTATCGGAAATCCCTATGAAACAAGCTCTATCTACACCGGATGCAAATTACTGGCACCATGCCATGGCTAAAGAAGTAAAAAATATTGTTTCCAATGGCACTTGGGAGTCGGTGAATCGCGCGTCTCTAAAAGTCGCAAAAAAGGAAATAGATAATCGAGAGACTCCACAAAAAGCGGGAGATTAGCTTGGTAGCATTAGAATTTGCGCAGGAGCTTATTTTAACGGAACTCACTATGCGACTAAATTTAATGCATCGTTTTATAGACTTAGCTATATATAATATGAAATGTCAGTTTGACAGTTAGACGTCACCACCGCGTATCTCGAGGGAAGTCTCGAACACGAAATATTTATAGAGCCAACGGAATTGGAGAGAGCTCATGAAGAAGTTATCTCTCGAAGAAGAGCGAAATGTGGAGAATGCAAGATAGTAAGTTTTGCCTTTTAGGCTGCTTAACATTGACATATACAATGAGTAGCGGTATTGATAAAATTAGAATCAAAAATGTGTAATACACAGTCACGTACCTACTTTATCAATTGCTTATAACCGTATGCAAAGATCGCATTTTAACCACTTAACCTACAATTTTCTAGACAGTTACATTATTTATGGCTAGCTAATTATTGGTACAACATAAAGGCAATTAAAGAAAGGTTAAGCACATTTTACTTTCAGTGATCCTTGATTGAATTGAACCCAAAATTCAATTGCAGTGAAAACACAAGTCTGGTTGATCACATTGTAGTGTGCGTTACGATATTGCAGATTAAGGGATTAATAGTTACAAACAAACTCCGTCAACAAAGTCAAAACATTACCATTTTTGACATTGAGGATAATTTTACCTGAGAATAAATGTTACCTGAGAATTTTACCCTCAAGTGTTACGTAACCATACATCAGACTACATCAGTGACATTACTGATTCGAAATACGTGAGCAAAAGTCCACAGATCCAAAGTTGAAGAGAACCATCAACCACGGACCTCATTTTGAACCCGATCGAAACTTTCGAACAACGGTGACTCGTAAAGGAAAGGGTAAATCAAACTATCATATACCCTGTGATGGCGTACCATTTCGATGGCGTAACATTCCACGAAACGTTTCTTTATACGGTACTAGCTTGATATTCCTTATCTTCCATTTTGAGATCAGATTTCATGTCTTTTTACGCTTAAACAGTTTTACAACCTGTTTGAAGGTTGTCACCTCTCTGCTCTACTTAACTTGATGCTATATGTTAGTAGATACCAGTGACTGATATCGTAAATTCAGTTATATTACATAATTAAACAGAATATAGATATCAGATGGAAACACAAAGAGGAAGAAGTTTGAAATGTTCTTAATATTCAGTCAATTATAATAAATTAAGAGATGGAACTGAAATGTGTATTCTTAATAATGATGTATATTATAGTGTCTTAGACTACATGTGATTCGTTTAAAACTGATGATAGAAGAATGTGGCTCACCACATTTTGCCATCTAGATTTGCGTCATTATTATTACTCATAGCAAACAATGTTTCAAATGAAGTTGAATGGTTTTGTGAGGGGTATATGCTGGTGGTACATTTTTTTTATAGGTGGACGTGTAAAGGACATATGAGAGTCATTAATGTTTTTTTAAATGGAATCATATATTTTTTATTGCATCAATTGATACTCCTTCATATTCTTTACAAAAAAAGTATTAATCTATTTATGTGAAAAAATCATTAGTTTAAGAGATATTTCAATTCTAACTTGTTAGGAAATCGTGACTTTCTGGTCAATATTATGAATTGCCGTAACTTAACAGCAAATGTTTTTCTACATGCTTTGAGAGATCACGTGTCACCGAACGAATTGTGAGTTTTTGTTTTTTTTTTGTTACGCAGTAATAGTGAAATGTAGTCTCTGTTACGTTTCTAATACGGTGAATACGACGATACGGTGAATTATCCCTTCATAATGAAGTTTTCTAAAGAAGAAAAGATAGTCATGTTATCAGTTTATTTTGTAGCTGGGAAAAGTGCTACACGTGTAGAAAGATTATACGCTACAGAATGTTAGTAAGTCGTTAATTTCTCGATTCAGAAAGCTTCGATTCAGAAAGTGTTCTGATTTCAAATGGTCGCCACATTGAACCTTTTCTGTAAATAGACATTAAAATTAAAATATCTCTTAAACTAATGATTTTTTCACATAAATAGATTAATACTTTTTTTAATGATTTTTTCACATAAATAGATTAATACTTTTTTTGTAAAGAATATGAAGGAGTATCAGCTGATGCAATAAAGAATATATGATTCCATTTAAAAAAACGTTAATGACCTTCATGTGTCCTTTACACGTCTGCCTATAAAAAAAAATATACCACCAGCGTATGCCCCTCTCAAAACTGAATGGTTTTCTGAAGTTGAATGGTTTTCAACTTCATTTAAAACATTGTTTGCTACGAGTAATAATAATGACGCAAATCAAGATGGCAAAATGTGGTGAGCCACCTTGTATGCATACATATAAAACATAATGATTTTGATGGAACTTAAGATGTCCACAGACTTATGGATGAAGATGTATATCAATTTTCACTGCGACAGTAAATCTACCAGTAGTTTCATAATTGCAAATAATTTGAAATTGAAAATAAAATAAACACAAACGATGAAATATAAATTAATGTACACGTTAATTTTTAAATAATTATTTCAATAAAATCTTAGTAAATGTAATTTGGACCAAATGGTTTGGTGATTTTAGTATTAAGATCTAGCTAATGTTGTAAATGTTAAACAGGTACATTGATACAAATTCAAAAAATTGTAGGAATAAGCGAAGATTTCACACTCCCCATTTTTAATTTGAATAAAGAGGCGACCTCTGGCAGCACTCTCATCAACAGACACTAAATACAAACATATGCTTATCTGCAAACACGAAGGAGGTCATCTACTGTCGTTTCCTGATGGGGATCATTTCAGAAACTGACCGAAATCGCTATCTTGAACGACAACATGAATAATGCACTTTTTTGCTCCTGATGAATATAACTTTGCTGTATATCGTGAGCTACTCCAATGACCCGTGCGACATTCGTGTTAATCTCTACTAGTGTTACTGATTAATGGGTTCCCTTGCTGCAAAATTTACATTCTTGTTATTTTAGGTTAACAATTTATATTATTGTTCTTTTAGAATAAGAATTAAAAATATTATTCTTACTTTGGAATAAGAATTTAAAATATCGTTATTTTAAAATTGAAATTTATAATATTGCTGTTATTTTAAGATAAAAATTTAGATTATTGTTATTTTAGAATAAGAATTAAAAACATTATTCTTACTTTAAAGTAAGAATTTAAGTTATTATCGTTATTTTAAAATTGAAATTTATAATATTGCTGTTATTTTAGAATAAAAATTGATAATATTATTTTTAATTTATACATATAATTTATTGTACACCGTCGTACTATACAATTTCAAGAAAATGAAAGAATATCTCTGAAATATTTAGTTCAAGAAGCATTTGTATTTTTTGAGTCATTGCGCTTTTAAAAAAGATGCAGTGATAAAGAAGTAATCCTCTTATGCCATTCGACGTTTTCTTCTGCAGCAATGGTTCTCAATCTTTTCATAAATACGTACCGTCAAAACCAGAATTCAAGTACTCCCATAGCAACACAAAATATGGTTTACATCAAATTTTAAGAGAAACTATACAATAAATTATGTACAATATCATATATTTTTACTTTATTTTTCAAAAAATAATTGTATACAAAAGAATAATGATTTGTAAATTTATGTTCATAAAGTTTCAACTTTTCAATCTATTGAATTCTTAAACTTTTCGCATTTCCAAACAACTAACTCCTGAAATCTCCAAATTTGAAGATTACTAATTGTGAGTTTCTAATTCTGCAAATTCAAAAACTGGCAGACTACCAAACTTCTAATTCTCCAAATTTTAAATTTTGTAAATCACTAAACTTTTATATTTACAAATTCTCACATTCCCAAATTTAAATTAAGTTAAATCTTGGAATTCGTAAATTTTCAAATGTCTATAACTTTGAATTCCGATAATCTTAATATCAGAATATTTAATATTTAATATTCCGATATCTGATATTTTTAGATATCTAAATTTCCAAATTCCGATTCTACGCTTTTCAAATATCTATATTTCTAAATTTCTCTATAAAACCTTAATTCTTTAATTACAAAAATTCTAAATTCCCAAACGCCTTGATTTTCAAAAATCTCCAGGGATTTTCGAATCCCTCGATCTTCAAATGTCTAAATCCCAAATTCCTAGATCCCTAGATCCCCAAATTTCTAAGTCCCCATATTCCTTGATCCTGAAATCCCTAGATACCCAAATCCCCAAATTCCCAAATCCCTAGATCCCCAGATCCCCAAATCCCTAAATCCCAAATCTCTAAATCCCAAATTCCTATATCCCGAAATCTATAAATTCCCAAATTCCTAGATTCCGAATCCCTAGATCCCCAAATCACTAGATTGCCAAATTCTAAACATCCCAAATACACAAAGTTCCCAAATTCGAAAGTCTCCAAGTCTCAAAGTCCTTAAATCCCCAAACTCAAGGGACCCAAATACACAAAATCGCCAAATCTCCAAGATTACCAAATGCTTAACTAATATCCACATTTTAAGGATCCTTATTTTACCATATTTTCTCTAAGAAAGCCAGATTTTCTTTTAACCGTACCATCCAGCTTGTATCTCATATGCAATAAATAGTACATAATATTCACTGAGAACCACTGCGGTATTATTTTTAACCAAAAACAAGATTTGTCAGTTCGTATATTCAGACGAAATACTTCAATCTTTACAAGTCAATCAAACATTATACGTTGTATTTTATTTTTACAGGACGTCCCGAGCCAAAAGTGAGATGGTGGCGTGGAGAAATGCTCCTTGATTCCAAAGATGAACCTGGAGAATTTCCTTCTCTTCGTAGAAATACCTTAATAATTCGTGAACTCTCCAGAGCTGATCTTCATGCCGTATTTACCTGTCAAGCATCTAACAACAATATCAGCCAACCCGTCTCTGCCTCTGTCGCTATTGAAATGCATCGTAAGTTCATTCTCTTTTTATAATATGTCGTTTGAACAAACCAAATTAAGACGTATGTACATATTGAATATATTGTGTGTCTCACGATCTCTATCCACTTAACCAGTTAAGTGTGTTTGACTATATCCGTCATGGAGATGTGGCAGAATATTGTGTTATGACGATTATATCCGTCATGCGTAAAATTTTGTTACAATTTGATGTTTAAATTGTAATTTTGGCGAAAACTAAATTATATTCGTAAATTGTAATATATTTAAAATGTTTAGAGGTCAACACGAAATGAAATAAACAAATAAAAAGTGTAAATGATTTAAGATGAATTCATAAATTCCTGAGAGCTAACTCGTCATCGCTTGATTATCGCGACACACACCGGTGTGTGCTTTGCAAAAAGATCGCCACAGTTAATTGGTTAAATATCTTGAATATTTTAAACAATACGAGAAAATGTTACTAAGTTATATGGCTTAAGGAGCTGCATAATACGATATCAATAATATTCTTGTAAGTGGACAGATTTTGTGAGACACTTTATACTGAAACATTTAAATCTGCCCTTCACATTTTGTCAATGTACATAAAATATCCAAAAATTGGTATACAATTTGAAAATTGCAGATTGTCCAAACCAAAAAGAATTGAAAATTCTTCTAACACTTCTTACTTTTTGACTTGTCCCAGATTAACATTTGAACGTCAAACGAATTTTGCAAAGATAAAGAAGTGGTAAATGAATTTTCAATCTTTCGTATGTGGAATCCGCAGTTTTTAGATGGAACGCCTTTTTTGAAGCACTCTGTATATTCGATGTCTTTGAGTACAAGCCGGATCACCATGTCTACGAGAGTAAGTGGACTCCATTCACGCGATCTTCAGCCACGTAAAAAGAAACGACGCGAAACTTCATATAAACCGATGGATCAGTGTACCTAGCTTTTACCGGCATAGCACTTTGAGTGCTGTTACCTGATGTGTCAATCTTCATAAGAATCAATCATTTCTTTTAGTGGAAACGTTACTTAATCGATTTCAAATTCACTGTTAAATATTTCGAAGACTAGTAAGAAAAATAAATGTAATGATATATTACATTTATTGGAAGTTAGTTGCTAACTAAAAGCATCTTTCACGACTATAGTACAATATTTAAAATATTAGATTACTAAAATAAGTTTGACTCTGATATAAATAAACGAGACTTGATGCCAAATGGAAAATTTTACTTGAATTCCGAATAAAACGAGACACCATAGTCGAATCATCGATTTTGGTAAAACTTTTTCTAATGAATCTGAAAATATTGCGATTTATGTTCAATCGTTTTTGTCAATATTCATCTTCGGTAAAAAGTATTTAGCATTTAATTTCTTGATTTTTAGAAATAATTATGTAGTTATGTAATCATATCGCAGTAATTGTGGCAGATCCTTGCATTACTCTGCATTACTTGTCATGAGATCAAATCTGCCTTGAGAACAAATTTTAGTCCGCATTTATGTATATATTTTATTTATGTTTCATGGATATATTTGTGGGAGTCTAAATATTTTTACAATTTTTGATTAATATTCTTTATTACTGTTTTTTACAAATTGTGATTGTGTTATTTCTAAAGTATAGAGTAGATACAGAAAAATGAAAAACATGTTTTCAAAAAAATTAATATTTACTAAAAACTGATGCAATAAAACACCTTGTTATGCTTTTATTATTTAAGAATGATATTTATCTACACAAAGAAGATTAATATTAATATTAATTAATTATAATGATATTAATAGTAATATTAACAATATTAATTTATAATAAATAATAATTACTAATATTAATAATATTAATATTGATATTAATAATTAACCTTCTTCCTGTTAACAAATATTAATATTTTTATTTATCAAGAATATACAATCGTGTCTAAAGAAGTTGGTGCAGATAATATTACACAATTACAATAAATAAAAAGATATAAAAATTAAAAAAGCAGTACGACAAAGATATTAAAACATATAAAAGTATATAAATATGTTCATAAAACCAAATAAAAGATGAAAGCAGGTAAAAATTTATTAATCATAATGGAAGTTTGAACTCATAATTCTTCGCCAGCATAGCTGACGCGATATGAATTAGTAATTCAATATTAATGGGAATGAAAAAATTAAATATTAAATGTCTCTTCAAATAATCAGTACTAACAAAACGAGTCGAATATATTAGAGTTATTTTTGTTTCAGATTCAGTAGAAAATGTTTTAACAAAACTTATAATGCAACGACTGCAATGTTCTCTTGTAAATGTAAAACTACTGAATGGTCGGTAGTAACAAGTAGGTTAACAATGGATCAAAAAATCAGAACTGTGTAAACTATACAGTGGCATTGTTTCTTAGCGATGAAGCATTTTGAATTATATTTGCAACTATTACTTTCTACAGATGTGCTATAACGTTCTTAAAATTTTTATAAGATAGATAAACATATTTTACGTATTTTATATGATTTTATGTAATTTATTTTCAAAACAAAATTTACGAAACGTAGGTAAAATTCATTGAGTACGGTAAATCACGAAATATTTATTTAAAGCACGGCATTTGTTGATAAAAAGATTATGTAAAATGTTTTTATTAATCTATTTTCAAATCCCATTTATCCAATATTATAATAATTAATATAATAATTAGTATAATTAATTAATCATGATAATTAAAACCACAGAGAACTTATGAAACTAATAAAAATAATTTTTGAGTGACACCTAACTTATAATAAAAACATTTACTTTGCTCCGTACATAGTACTTATTAATATGTGTGTACTAGTATCCGCAATACTCATACATTGTTAAAACTATACCTACACACACTTTAAAATTAAAAATGGAAAAAAATAAATAGTCAATCGATAGAACATACATAAATGTACATATTAATTCCTTATCTTGATCAGAGTCGACGAAGATTTCAAAAAGATCTTAACAAGCTTTTAACCTAAAATAAACCTAAAGTTTTGACCGCTTTGATTATTTTGGTACTGCATGTCCGCCATCTTCTTGAAACCTCAACATTTAACACCTAGTACAGAATTTCTTAATACGATCTAACGGAAATAGGGTATGGTTTCAATGAAATATGGGAGATTATTAATATATAAAATAACACAAATAAACACAATGACTTTTAACACACTAAATGAATTTATTATGTAAAGAAAAATAGACTAGGAAGGACCTCTTAATAACACACAATATTTTTATACGTTTGAGAAATATCGTAATCACAGAAAAACAATAAAGTAGAAGTATACAGATATTATTTTATTAACATGCGTGAATTTAATTAAAAACGAGCGGTATCATATAAATAATCGATAAATAAACATACTTAATTACCGACTTCCCGATGTATTTACTTTCGCCAATTCCATTTATGTGGAAATTCAACATGATCTTCTTAAATTTTAAATGTATGTTAAATATCCTTAATCTTGAAGCTTAGTTTCGAAAAATTGATTAAATTCTTAATAAAGGCGTTTCGTCCAAACCTTTCAATACCTGATCGAACAAAACCTTAGAATTACAATTATCTTACTCTATCAAAATCGGTCAGATCTTATAATTCGATCAATTAATTCAACTACTGGAGAACTTTCAATACACTTTTTTCTCATTTCTCATATGACTGACTCTCCTATTCTATGTATATGTTCTACAAGTCTTGTTTCGTTCCTCGTATGACCATACTACCTGTTCTATTTATCCTACCAACCTAACTATCCAGGCAATTATTCGTAGCACTTACTCGCTGACAGTAGTGTGGTCCGCATTGCGTAAGTTTTGGCAGAAATCATGACCGTTAAACTATTCATTTGCTCGTTTTGGTGTTTCAACTTTACTATGTCCATTCTGTTGTATCCTAACCCCATACTCTCACCCTAAGTGAGACCTGTATACTCCTTCCCAGTGCAGCATTCCGGAGATATCGGCTGCGTGCTGAAGATTCCCGTCAGACCACGTGCCCTTGGCACGTGTCCATTTATCGTCGTGACCATGGCGAAATGCTCGAAATATGTTCGAGGTGGCAACAGCTAATCCTTCTGTAGATTCTGGCAAGAAATAAGTCAAGACAGATTCTTTCGAAGCGAACATTTCAGGTCCCTCCGTTCTATCGTTCGCGTTAACACGATCCGACACTTATTCACCAGATTTGCTTCTTCAAATTTCGATTTTCTCACTCTTATGTTGCAAGATTCTATGTATGGCACCCAGATTCTCTTCATAAGTTTGAAAGTATAACATTATTTCATTTACACATAAATTAGAAGACAATTTTTGATAGAGTAAAATTTAATACGAATTTATAAATATTAAATGACCGGTTATTTCGAGATTGAAAGGAGAGTAGAGAAATAAATGGATAGAAGATAAAAAGGATGACTTTCTAAATTTCTCCATCTACAAATTTTACAATGTTGGGTTAAAGATTCAAACCTTTGGATCCCTAAATCTCTAAGTCCCCAAAATCTATAGATTTCCAAATTACTAGATATCAAAGTTGCTAGATCTCCACACTCCTAGATTGGCTTACTTTTAACTCATTGACTGCCAGACATATTTAGAGCGTCTTGCCCTGGGTGCCAAGGTTTTATTTTGAAGAATACATGAAATTTTACAAAATATAATTATATTAAGTTACTGATATAATATTGTAATAGCATTTACAGTAATTTTTATTGAAAATAAAAACACTACGAGATAACTCGTAGCTGGCGTCACTGAATAAAATTCCTGTGCTGGTTGCCACTTACGAGCCACGCACTATTGCCACGCACTACGAGATATCTCGTAGCTGGCAGTTTTGATACACACGCTTTTACGAGATATCTCGTAGCTGGCAGTCAATGGGTTAAACTCCAAATCTGGGTTCCTCAATCTCAAAGTCTCCAAATCGGTTGATCTCAAAATCCTTACGTTCACATATCTGTAAATCTTAAATTCCT